GTAGCTTGGTGGAGACCCTGAATACAAGACACTCTTTTTCACGTGGGTCGTCTTATTTGCTCCTTTCACGTTTGCTATTTTATTATGAAAGTTTTGTAATTCACCTGTTTCTTTTAAATTTGTACGGAGACCTTAGAAATGATGGTTAAAGGAATGAATTCTGACAAATAATATGTTTTGTTTGTGTCATATGTATTTAAAAAAAGTGAAGTGTACCGTATTTATTCAAATACAAGATGAGTTTTTTCCTTCCAGTCAGCACAGGAAAAAAAGCCTCTTGTCTTCTATTCACGTATGAGGAAACCTCATTAAATACATTGTCTGTCAGTTAAACTAATGCCAGAAGTAGCATGGCTCAGTAGTGGAAACTAACTGGGAAGTTTATTAAATGGAACCAACACTGAGTATGATTATAAAATGCATGCCCCTTATTGGGCAAAAAATATGCTGATTAGAACCTACTACAAAGGTAAGTTAGTATAGCCCATCTGAATGAGATGTATACTAGTGCCCCCCTTAGCACAGCCCCCCTTAGCACGGACTCTTTCAAGTCATGGTGAGCCACTACATCGGAAATGTGTTGACTTCTTCGCTCCCACAGCTGAGCTGTGCCTTTTTCCCGACTTCCAATCATTCCTGTGTCTTCATCAGCCTTAAATGTCTGGCAAACATCATGAAATGAGGCCCCAAACATTTCACCCAGAATCCCTTTGTCAGTCCTGCTCTCAGCCTGTTGCATATAATTAGTGTGGCCCTGTCTTCCATTAGGTAAAGCTGAACATGATTGCCCTGTGCCTCATCTGCATGTAATTTTTTGGAGGATCCCAGGACAAGAATACCTGGTTCCAGTCATAAATGCTGCAGGACCAGGAACCAAAGGTGAAAGGTGTGCATGAAGAGCAGTTGTTCCTTAAGCACATAATACTTGAAGCACAAAGGAGGTCTATTCCCATGCAGAGAAACAGTAACAGAAGGGCTAGGAAGCCCTGTTAGCTAAACAGGGAAATCATGGTCCTCTTAAGAAAGAAGAAAGAGGCTTATAAACAATGGAAGCTTGGGGCAGGCCCCAAGGAGGACTATTCCATGATGGCCCACATTTGCAGGGAACAGATAAGAAAGGCTAAAGTAGTGACTGATCCCAGGTCCCCTCTCAGCCTTCTTTTCCTCAGGCTGAAGAGTCCCAGATACCTCAGCCTTTCCTCACATGGCTTGCCTTTTAAGACTCTGATCATATAGGCGGCTCTTCTTTGGACTCTCTCAGGCTTGTCCACATCCTTGTTAATGTGTGCTGCCCAAAACTGGATGCAGTACTCCAGCTGCGGTCTCACCAGTGCCGAGCAGAGCAGAAGAATCACCTTGGCTTTGCTGTAGATGCATGCCAGAGTATTATTTGCCCTACTGGCTATAGCATCACACTGCCGGTCTATTCATACTGTGGTCTATTATTATCCCCAGGTCCCTTTCATTAATGGTGCTAGTCAGTTTGGGGTCATCAAGCCTGTAGGTGTGTTGGGGGTTGCTCATCCCAACGTGGTGCAGCACATAACATTTCTCAACATTGAACTTCATCAGGTTCTGATCCACCCAACTTGTTAACTTGTCTAGGCTACCGTTACAGGCAGAGCTATCTTCCCCATAACTTGGTGTTGTCCATGAATTTGGCCAGTGAGCTCTTCATCCCTACATCTAAATCATTAATAAAGACATTGAAAAGCACTGGACCGAGCACAGACCCCTGCGGGACACCGCTGCCCACTTCTCGCCAGGATGGCACAGATCCATTCACTATGACTCTCTGGGTCCTAGCCTGCAGCCAGTTTCTCACTCTTCTGTCTTGGAGTTAAGCCTACAATCCTCCAATTTTCTTGCAAGGACATCATGGGATACTAGATCCTCTGCTCTTCCTGGCGTGACTTTCCCCTTAGTCCAGTGAAACACCAAGGTGAAGTAGTCATTCAGGAGTTCATCTTTCTCCTGGGTGCCATTAACCATCTCTCCTGAGTTGTTGAGCAGTAGCCCCACACTCCCATTTGTTTTCCTCCTCTTCCCTACGTATCTAAAGAAGGATTTCTTCTTGTCCTTGATTCCTGTTAAGAACTGTTCACCATGGCACCCAAGGGGAAAACAAGGAGTAATGGCCACAAGCTCCTGGAAGATCAATTCAGGCTCAACATTGGGGAAAAACGTCTTCACAGTCACGGTGTTCAGACTGTGGAATAAGCTCCCTCCAGAGGTGGTGCAATTACCTACCCTGGAAATCTTTAAGAGGAGATTAGACAGTCTCCTTGCTGGGGTAATCTGACCCCAAGTTATCTTTCCTGCAGGGGGCTGGACCAATGATCTTTTGAGGTCCCTTCCAGCTTTACAATCTATGAAGTGAGAGCTAATTAGCACATGGCTCCTTGGAGGGGAAGGGGCAGGGAGGGGACGGTATCTGGTGTACGCACACATAATGATTTAGTGCTGAACTGTGGGGTCATAGTGGTTTAAATGCTGTTGACTCTGTTGGGGGCCCAGTCCAATGAACTATATGGTAAATCATGAGCCTTTCAGCTTTGAACAAGTATCATGCATAGTTTGAACTATATAGAAGTGGGTGCATCTACATGTGCATTTACTGCGCAGTAACCAAAATTGGTGTGCAGAATGTGCATGAATCTACACATGCACACTCATACTGTGTAATTTTAATATGGTGACTTAAACTAACTTAAGTATCATGCAGGTACCAACTTTATGCTCGATTAGTTACTACTTAGGGGCTACTTGACCCTTCCCCCCCAATTCATTTCCCCTGCTTTAGCCTTGCCTTGATAAATTCAAGGCAAACCTCCAATAATTAGATTCCATACCTGAAAAATTATAACAAATTTATAAATTTTTCATATGTAGTATCTAATTATTGGAGAGTTGTTTTATATTCAGGTAAATATGGTATATTTAGAGTTCTTAGAATGAATGTTTCTGAAAAAAGAAAACAGTTTTCTCTGTTTCCCTATAAGGAAATTGCAAATACTGTTGTGCAAGGAATTTCCACATTTAATTTATTTTATTTTATTGGGGTTTTTTTATTACTGCTTGCTTAGTAAGGTATGCTTGATTATATTTGTCAAAACAATTTGGTCTGCAACTCAGAATTTCCTTTTCTGTGAATGGCAAAAGTTGTGTTGTATGCTTTCTATAGTGGAAGATCTCTCTGGGTCTTCCTTGTAGTCGTGGAGAGGCTTGAATGTTCCAATGATCCTGAAAGCAAGGCTGTCAGGAGCTTCATGCTCTTGGTAGGGTCACCCATGGTGGCAAGGTTGAGGGGGAGGTTCCTGACTAAGAGCAATCCAAGACGACTTCAACAGCAGACCAGGCAGAAGAAAAGTGTAACCCCTTTTTCAGCAGCTGTGAAGGTAGATGAAGGCTGCAGCAGATCAAGGGTCTCCAGTCGTCTTGGATTCCATGCCATTGGACTTAGATCCCTGTCTGTCAAGGACCATGCATTTGTTGGTGTGCGACAACATTCTCATACTAATATATGAGACACACATAGGTGTCTTGCTTATGGGAATCATACATCTCTGCACAACAGGGAAGTCCTACGGTGATCGGCACATGGCAACGGGGACAGGACTGCGAGATCTGGAGGTTCTAGTCGTGGACCGGCATGTAGGCGGTGGATGTTCACTTCAGTAATCTTGTTCAAGGACAGAGGCGGTAAGAGCAGTTCAGCAGCTGCACCCACAATGATCGGTCCTATTTAGGATCCCCTTTGCTTTCCCCACATAGGGAGGGGGCTAGAAAAGGTGCCCCAAACATAGTCTGTCTTGATCAGTTCCTGACTAGATAACCGCATCCAATGGGATCACTCCTATGCAGTCACAAAGAAACAAAAATGATTTTTGGAACCTGGGATGTACGAACCTTAATGGTCATGTTGTTCGCATGCCTGACTCCCTCCTCCCAAAGAGAATCTTTTTCTCACAGCTGAAAGAAGCTGAAAGAAGGTCAGCAAAGTAGCAGAGGGCAAAGAAAGCGCTTCAAAGACACCCTGAAGGCAAACGTGAAGAGGTGTAACATCGACATCAACACTTGGGAGACCCTTGCTCAGGACCAGCCAAAATGGAGGAAGACTCTTTGGGAGGGACCTCAACACTTTGAAACAGCTCGTCGACAGGCAGAAGAGGAACAGGCGAAAAGAACATCAGAATATCCAACACAGCAGCACAGTGCCCATCCCTCCTGAAAACATCTGTCCTCACTGCGACAAGATGTGGATCTAGAATTCGGCTATGGAGCCACCTGTGGAGCCACTATTAAGATCCTTGGAAGACAGTCTTACTCGTTTGAGTGATTGCCTATCGTCATAGTGGAAGGATGGCTGAAAATGAATCAGCTGATGTAATGAGCCACACTATTCCATCTGTTTTTCAGCACATCCAAAAACATTAAAAGGCTTTCAGCGATGGTCTGCCTACAGTACATTTGTCCTATTATGGATCTGATTTAGACAAATAAAAAGTTCAAACAAAAGGCTATGAAAACCAAAAAAACTCTAATTTTGTATTGTGTTGACATAGTTGGCCTTTTGTCTGCAGCGTGGAAGTTGGATGCACATTTTACTCCATAAGTCTCTACCTTCCTAGTTATGTTTCTGCACTTGAAAGTACTTCTAGGAAAGGCATCCTGGCAAAAACTTTTTGTGATATTTAATTGAAACAATGACCAGATTGCAATATCTATCCAAGCTATTCTATTGTAACTGCACCTAAAAGAGCTTTCTTTAAGTTCTATAAAAATTAAGAAAGCTCTTTTAGGTGCAGTTAGAATAGAATAGTTTGGATAGATACTGCAATCTGTTCATTGTTTCAATGCATTTGACTTCAGTATGTACTTGACAAAATATACTGTGGGCTTTGTTAATTACTTTAAAATACTTTCATTATAACTATTTTTTTCCTTTATATTGGCATAAACTTACTGAGTGCATGTGTTCTGCTCTCTCTGCATTTTAGGTATGAATCATGTCAGTACAGTGAAAGATGAAGATATGCATTTCTGAAGTAGGAGTATGCGTATGATTAAAGGATTTGAGCAGAGGACTCTGAACTGTAGTTCCTTCCTGCTCCAGGAGGGATACCTGAGGTGAGTGAGTAATGGGATAATTTATAATTGGGCTTTTCTTCAGGAGGCCTGTAGTCAAAACAGGAAGATACAGCTTGGCTAGTTTCAAATAAAAATAGAAGAAACTTCAGATACTGCAGTCACACCCTTTAGTTACAAGCACCTTCAGAGCTTTTTTTTCCTGGTTAGTAACAAGAGGCTTTCCACAATTGTGACATGAGGTTTCTATAAATTGCATGCATTTCAGCTTTTCAGCTCTCTTCAGTACATACTGTAGGATGTTTTCCCCCCATAGAACTCAAGACTGAACTGTCAGAATTTAATTTTCCTTTTCTGAAGCAGCCCTAAGTAAAACTAGTCATAGCAGAGCACACCATGGGTAAGTGCAGACATTTGGGGGTGGGGGAGAGGTTAGATTGGGTTCAAAGTGGTCATCAAATCTAATTTAGTTCACCCTGGAGGTGGACCTTATACTCAGACCCACACTTAGTGATTGGAAATCAGTCTAAACCCATACCTACAGAAGTTCTGTAGACACTAGCTGGTCTGAAAATTGCGGAACCTGGTCTAAGATAGACCTGGATTACTGTAGTATTGGGCTTACTTGACCTAGGTTAGACCAAGGCATGGAATTTCTGTACAGTTCCTAGCCTTGGGGCTGAGCAGGTAAAGCCCAGCAGCTGGCCTCAGCCCTGGGGCTGCACTTTTCATGCTCCCCTCCACCATCACTGAGCTATTTTTAGCCCTCTGGGCCCTTATACCCCCCACCCCCCATTTACCAGCCAGGCCCCTCCACCTGTCCCACCTGCACATTGCTCTGGGTGCTGTCAGTTTTATCAGCATTTGTCACTGGAGCAAGTAAGTGTCATGGGAGAGGGGTGTAGGTTCACTGGGGGACATTGGGGAGGCTAAAACTAGCCCCTGGTCCTCCCAAGTCCTCCCCTGCAGACCCCACAAGCCCTTCTGATCCTGTCAAACCCTTCTGGACCCCAGCAACTGCCCACAATTCTGCCTGCTCCCCCCAAGCCCTGTGAATGCTGCCTGCCCCCTCCATTCCACCATAGATGCCACCTGCATCCCCGATCCCACAGATGCTGCCTGCCCTCTCATCCCTTCTGATCACCCCTCACCCCCCTAATACCCATGGATGCTCCATTCCCCTCAGGCCTGCATACCCTCAGGCCCCGTTCCCTCAACTGCCATCTCACTAGACCCCACCCCCCATCCCAACTTACCTTAGATTGGGCAGCCATTTTGAACCGATCAAACCTCCCCCTAAGCTCCCCAAATGCCTACATTTAGCCCATGAAGCCAAGGAAGAGGAGGAGAATCAGCTTTCTAACTAAGCTTGTTGGTGAAGGAGAAAGATCAGCATTAGTGAAAGGTCTACCTATACCCAGCTCAGCTCCTTGCTGGAGTTTGTTCAGAGCTGGTTCGTGGTGCTGCCTCCAACAGCTAATCATGAGCTTGTTCTGATAAGGTTGTGTATCAGCTACATGGATTTATGTTGAATATTGATTATTACTGCTTGCAGCAAGCAGTTTGATTAAAAGTGTCATTAAAACTTAAACTGAATTATTCATAGGAGGGTAGAGATGAGGTTGTACTGCATTTTTGGTTCTGGACTTTGTAAAGGGAACCCTTCTGGGTGTATTCAGTTTGGATCATTTGGTTGGTCTGCATTGTGCAAACACTGAGTAGCAAATGACGTGGTTCTTTAGATGTCCTACCTGCTCTGTTTTCCCTCCCTGCAACCTTGGAGTCTCCTGCATAAACTTACTCTTCAGAGGTCTATGTTTCCTAAGACAGACTGTTCCAAGGGTGTAGAACACTGTTCTGTTTAAAACATACAGTGACAACCTCAGCTTTTGGATTTAACTTCATTCAGTTTTATACATATGCAGGCAGATCAGAAGAGTGGGTGATTCCCTGCTGCTGTTGATTCTCAGCCACTCACCAAGCAGCAGTCTCTTACCTACAGATTTTACTGTCTGAACAGTTTCTGCTCATAGGAAGGCATGTAATAAAATAACAGTGGGGACTTGTGACTATTTCAGTGGGGCAAGAGAGATTTTTGGAGGAAGTCCAGTAAGACGTGTCTCAACAAGTGGCAAAGGAAACAGTATGAGAAAACAAGTGATAATGTGTTAGAAAAGCATTTGAAGACATAACTGAAATAAAGCAAATTACAGTGGAAAGTATCTTTGGAATCAAGAGGAGACCATTGGGCTGCCAAAGGAAGTAGGTGGCAATGGTGTGTTTGTACCTTTTGGACTAGTGACAGAAATTACATATAAACCAGTATAAGTGATCAGAAACTAGTTCAAATCTGTGACACAACAGATGTTCAGTGCACATAAACTGCTTTCAAAATGGCTGAAACCAGTTTAAGATAAACCCGAATGGATGTAGTATCAGACTTAAGTGATTTAGGTTAAATCAGTTTATTTAATTTCTGTCCTGGATCTTCTCCAGATTCAAGATAACTCGCAGTCCCCCAGCATCCCTGGATACTTTGCATCTGCCTGCAAACACCCTCCCCCAGCGGGGTGGTTGGGCTAGCCCTGGCCCAAGCTGTCCACTTCACCCGAGCAGGGAGGCATGCTATAGTGTCTCCTGGCTTTTGGTCTGTGTCACTGCAGACTTGTGACTGCATTTCTGGAATCAAAAGTGAATGTCTGTTCACTTGCTTATCAGTTCAGTCTACCTGGCTTAGAGTAGTAACATACGAAGATTGAATTGATTCAGCCTTTGGCTTTTTGACTGGCTGTACTTAGCCTGGAG